TATATATATATATATATATATTGATTTCGGGATGGACGGTTCTAGCGCTCCGCTAGGGTTTGGGTTCTCTATTGATCGGAAGGCGATTTCGAAATGCTGACGGCGTGCCTTCTCTCTCGACAGTCGAACTCTTGAGAGATCTTTCCTTTCGCTTTCTGGCTTTGGTTTCTCCTTCGTACTCGTCTTCTGTTTCTCGCCACTTCGTTCTCTCGCTGTCTACAGAGAAAACATATGCAGGGGTCACTGCCGGGGGATCCTCCTCTACTGCTCCTAACTTTGTGTTTCCTTCTTCATTTCAAGCATCACTTATTCTTGGCGGGGAATATAATTTCATTAAGAAGCAAGGGAAGAAGAGGGAAGAAGAAGAAGAGGGGAAAGTTTGCGCTTTTCCTCTTCGACTCTGAAAACTCCATTCTTGCCTCCGCTTGTCGTTTTCACCTGATAGGGAAGTTCCTCTACGGGCTTCCTAAATATCATTTCCTACAGAAACATTTTGAGCTTTTGAATTTAACTAGGGGGTGGAAGATTGGTGCTCTCGATAGCCGACATATCCTGATTCAGTTATCTAACGATGATGACTACGCTAAACTTTTTGCGAGAAGAACAATTCCTTTTGAGGATGTCTAGATGAAAGTCTTTAAATGGACAACTGAATTTGATCATCGGGCTGAGCTTCCTATTATTCCAGTCTGACTTCGGCTACCTGGTTTAAAGGTGCATTTGTTCAACCATGAAATTTTATTTTTGATTGTTGCTATGTATGGTAAGCCGTTAATTCTAGATGCCCCCGACCTATAACTTAACGAGACATTCAATGGCTAGAATTCTGATTGAGCGTGATGTTACCTTACCCCCTTCTAAGGAGGTATGAATTGGTTATAATCATACGAAATTATGGGATATTGACAGTAGATGATTCTTGAAAAACATCCTCATTACTGCTCTGACTGTCGTTTGTTTGGGCATGATTCGATACATTGATTTCACCTACATCCTCAACTGAGGAAAAATTCTTCGGGTCGATTATCCTCTACTAAACAAAAATCTGCCCATCGAACACCTCCTATTGAACCGGTTGCTGAACAAATTGCTCCTACCTTGGAGGAAACCAGTGCTGCCCATCTCGATGGCGTAGCACACGTGGCCCCTTTGCCCTTTGAGCGGTCTGAAGAGAATGTGGAGTCGTTTGCTGCCACACACAATACATCTGAGAAAGAAAATATGATACAGCTCCCCCATTGCATTGCCTGGAGAATTACACATTCAGGACACCCCACAACTATCTACACATCACACTACTATACTTTCTACCACTCCACCGCCTGACCTAGCTGTTGTTGCTACCTTGGCTTTGGATTCCGAATGGACAATTTAAAAATACAGTCTGAAACGCAATAGAAGGAAATCAGAAGTTCCTAATATGACAAATTCAACAAATAATATTGATGTCACTTTGTCACTTATTATTCTGAGGGTGAGCACTTGCACCTTCCCCCTAGGATTGCTAAGAGGGGGGTGTTTTGAGTCAACATGTTTAACATTTTTGTATAGAACATTAGGAGAGTGGCGGACCCTCACTCTTTTAATCGTTTAAAACGTTTATGTAGGATCCATAAGACAGACATTTTTGTTCTATTAGAGCTGTTTCTGTCAGCTCATGAGGATATCATTAAGATTTTCAAGAATTACATGCACTATAGTAATCAGAACAATAAAATTTGGCTCTTTTGGAAAAAGGATATCACTTTCAATATTATTGATGATAATGTGCAGTATGTTTTAATTCATTATCAAGTGGAGGAAGTGGAGGATTTTCATGGTTGGATTTTCATGGTTGGGCTACCTTTATTTACGCAGCTCCTTAATACGGGACAAATTACTTCTTTGGCAACAGCTTACACAAATGGGTGCTTCTATTCTAGATAACTGGTTTGTTGGGGGTGATCTAAATATGATTATGTCTCCTTCGGAGAGAAGGGGTGGTGCTAAAGTTGATACAGACCTTATCAATCGTTTTTGTGAGCACATTGCCGATGCTGGCCTCTATGATTTGGGTTTCTCTGGTCCTCCCTATACTTGGAGGAGGGGCCTTCTTATGCAGAGACTGGATTGATTTTGGGAAACTCCTCTTTTCTAGGCTATTATAATATTATTCATGTCAAGCATCTTAATCACGCTGCTTCATATCATAATCCAATTTTGCTTAGCTTGACTTTTCATGCTAAACATGCTCGCTCTCATTTCAAATTTCTTAATGTTTAGAATTCTCATCCTACATTTCTTGATTTGATTAAACATACTTGGGTCTCGCGGTGGAGTGGCAGCCCTTGGTTTATTTTATGACAATCACATAAGAAGGTGGCTTCTTTCTTAAAGAGGTGGAATTTTGATATTTTTGGCAATGTACATTCCAGGGTTTTGAAAGCCCAACAGGAGGTGGATGCACTGGAACACTCCTAATTTTGTTGCTAAGTTAGCCCATGCTCACCATACCCTCTTGGAGGAAATCACTATTGAGGAAGATTTCATTAGACAAAAAGCTTGTGACACTCAATTTAGAAATGGTGATCGAAACACTAAGTATTTTCACGCCACCATTAAACATCGACGGAATATTAATGTCATTCTTAAGATTGTTACCGATGAGGGTGTTGTCCTCACTGATGTTGATCAAATTGGTTCCAATGTCGCTGATTATTTTACCTCTCTTTATGCTGATGCTTTGTCGTTCACTGATATCCATTCGAAAATATTTTATGCTCATAGAGATATGGTTTCCTCCCTCTCTTTGTCTGATCCCCCCGCTGAGATGGAAATTTTCTCTGCCCTCAAAGATATTCACTCCCAGAAGGCTCCTGGCCCTGATGGTTTCACTTCTACTTTTTATATTTCTTGTTGGGACATCATAAAAAAAGAGGTGGTTATTGTGATTCAAAGTTTTTTTTTTTTGGAAGAAGATCCTGGAAAGGGAAGATCCTGGAAACTATTTTACCGCCGCTTTGATAGTTCTTATACCTAAATCTAATGATAAATTGCATTGGAAGAATTTCCGTCTTATCTCGCTCACTTCTGTGGTTTCAAAAATTATTAGCAAATTGATTGTGTCCGCCATTGATTGTGGCCCGCCTACAACCTCATCTTCCTTCTCTCATCTCTCCACATCAATCGACTTTTATAAAAGACTGTGATATTTCTGACAATATCCTCTTAGCCCAGGAACTTTTACAAGATCTTGATAAAAAAATGTAGTGGTGGCAATCTAGTTATCAAATTAGATATCAAGAAGGCCTTTCATACTATTAGTTGGGATTTTATCATCAACGTTTTGAAGTTCAGAGGTTTCAATTCCAGTTTTTGCATATTGATTAAAAGATGGTTGGCTAACAATCATTACTCCGTGCTGGTTAATGGTAATTATTATGGTTTCTTCGCTGCTTGCAGGGCTGGTTTCTTCGCTGCTTGTAGGGGCATTAAATAGGGAGACCCTCTCTCCCCTATTATTTTCATTTTAGCCTTTGATTATTTATCTAAAATGCTCAATC